AATTTGTTCGAAAAAAATAACCCTTATGAAGAATCAAAGATGATCATGTGGCGTTTTCGTTAATTTTACCTATATATATGATCAACATCAAGTATTGTCATTATTGTATGCGCTTCTGATTCATTATTTGACATAACTTTTCTAATCAGTGCAATATGACTAGGGTGTGAGTGAGCGAATGTGTATTATCTTCATTTACACTCGCTGATATGTCTTGATAGAAAACATTGTCGTACTGTCGAATCATTATATCCAATTTTTCTATGTTGAAAACTTCGATTCCTCAACAATTATGTAATTTCAATTTTCTTTTACAAAGAAAAAAATCCGATGCCTATTTGACCATCATACTGCAGTGATTTCAAATTTTTCAACAAAAATTTTATCATTGAAAAGCATTCCATCACATTTGAAAAAACATTTCGTATTACTAATGTTTTTTTGGTATGTTTTTTTTATTTGTGTGTGTGTCAAAAAACTTCATTCAATGAGTTAAAAAAGACACTCACACATAGATACGGAAAGAAAGATAAAAAAAAAAGAAAGAAGAGAAAATACCAACAAATGTTTTGAGAAACGAAGAGCGATAACGAAAACGCGAGATCGAGAGAGCAAGTGAAAAAGAACAAAAAAGAAACCTCACATTGCACAATGTTCTTAATAACGTGCAGATTCTGTTGTTTTTTCAAATAAAAAAATGAAAAAGATAGAATACTAAGAAAAGAAAAGAAGAAGAAAAAACAATTCAACTTTTTTTAGATCATCGTGCTAGTTGACAGATCACAAAAAAAATCGATGACTATTGTTTCTTAGGTGAGAGAAAAAAGGCATTTTGAGCCAAAATTCGATTACTCGAATATTCTTTCGCGAATATTGTCTTAACAGTCACTGTTACCATAGATAGACATGAGAAAAATTAAAGCACGACTAACTGTACATATTAAAAGTACGAAAATGAAAGAAATTAGAGCTCAAAAAGAAAAAAAAGATAAACGGCACCAAAAACAATCAACTTGCGCATCTTTAACAGTTTTCTTTTTTTTCTTCAAATAAGACCAATTGAGCATTACGTGCATTGAAAACAAAAAAAAGAAAGAGTAAGTCTATTTTTTTTTATAAGAATTATATGAAGAAAAAAAAACTCTTGAATTTGTAAAAAAACAAAAAAAACAGACGATTAAAAAAACCGAAATGGGATATATCTCGAAAAAGTAAGCACAGATAAGAATAACCAGAGGCAGATAATTACAGAAATTCATACTGTCTCAAGTTCATAAGTAGAATGATATCGCGACAGTCATTAAATACTCGACGAATGTTTTCTGTATCAACAGCACATGTAAAATGTGGATAACACGAATGACGAGTGTTACCAATAGCTGTGCTAATTCGCTAAATAAAAGAGAAATAATGTATAAAGCAATGTTCATTTAATTTTACTTACTAAAAACTCGTCACGTATGAAATATTTAGCTCGAGTTACTTCTGCATGTTCATTTGGTTTGGATTTTTCTAAAATAAAAATTATCAATGAATATTTATAGCATTAAAAAGAAAACAAAAGAAAATCAGCAATTTTGATTAATTCAAAGTACACAAAGAATAACAAACAAAAATGTGTTTTGAGCTTTGCTTATACTATATTAAAAAAAAAGAAGGATCTGTGAAAAATAAATCGATAGAAAAATTTCCCTTTAATGATCTAGATTAGTTCTATTCACCTAATTCAACATGTGAAACAGCATAATGTTCAAATTCAGGAAAATATTCTTCAAGTCGACGACCAGCTTTGATTTTTTCTGCTAGAAGATCTTGTTTATTAAGAAATAATATAACCGAAATTGTTTTTAACCATCTAAGAAAATCAACAGAGAAAAAAAAATAACAATAAATTTATTTTTTCTTCAATAAATTTTCTACCGATTATTCCAAATCTTTTTAAATAATTCAAGTGATTCTCTCAGTTGATTTTGCTTTTCATCTTCAATAAGTACCAAATTAAAACCACTACATGCTGTAACAAATATTATTGCTGTAACATCATTTAAGCATTGAATCCATTTTCGACGTTCTACACGTTGTCCACCAACATCAAACATACTATTTAGATAGACTATATTAAGTATTCAAATATTGATAAATACATACTGGAAGCACACACGGTCAACAGTAAAAATTGTTTCATAAATACCTGATGTAAGAACACGACAACGAAGAATATCCTTTAAAAAAATATCATATATAATTAATAGTTTACGATTTTTCATATTCATATATATGTTTTTTGACAAAATAAGTTAATTTTCAAGCTAACGAGAAAACCACTCGACCTTCATGAATCTTTGAAGTCAAGTTAGGATAGTTTTACTGAATTTTAGATCCATCTTTAGTCGATAAATTCCCAAAACAGTGTTTCGATGTGAAGTTTTGTCCATAGATAATTCAAATTATCCCTAGAATATCTTGAAAGTTTTAACCGAAAAAGAATGTTCCTTCGTCAAAATATTGAATTTTCAAAAAATAATCTTTTGCCATAAACATAATACAAAAATTAAGTTTACATGAAAATTCAATATTTCGACCAAGGAAGTTTCCAGTAAATACTTGATAATGAATCCAAAATTCAGTAAAGCAATCATAACTTCACTCCAAAGGTCAATAGAGACGAACTGTTTTTGACTATTGTTAGTCTCATTAAGGCATATATAGAGCCGGTCTAGGTTTCTTACGACCGATATCAGTATTGATCTGAGTAGGCCAGACTGAATCGAACTGGGCCACTCGGTCTGAAATTCATGTCGACATGTGACTGACAAAGTGTCGTACTATTCCATCTGTAGATAGTGACATTTGACATATTCAACTTTCAATAAAGTTTCATTATACATTCCCTGTGAGATACTAAGAGAAAAAAAATGAATAAGATGTATCTGTAGACTGGTCAGTCTGAAATTTGAACCAGTACCGGTGCCATCTTTGCGCCAAGACATTCTTATCGGTTGAATCTAAGCTTAAATGGTGGGTATCAGCTAAGGTGATTCCCTTGTGAGTAAACGTTTCAATTAAAGTTTTTCTTAAAAAATAAAGAATCATTTTATGATTATATTTGCAATGGCGACAACAATGATTAGTGTGCTTTTGATGACGCTAATGTTTTGCGTATCTCCTAATATCGTTATTACATAAAGGAAAGAATGAATAACAATTTCGTATTGTCTTTTTTTAACCTTAATTGCCATTATTCACTTGTATCTCGACTACGTTTCAATCTATTTGCAAATTAATTGCATCAATTGTTGTACTTTTTTTCTATTTTGATAAACTATTCTGTTTACTCTGCATATGGCACATATCATGATGTGTGTTCTTCCTTTCTATCTCGATTCAAAAAATTCGAATTGAAAGCAAATTTAAGATAGAATTCATAAGTTATTTTCAAGAGAAAAAACAAATGCTCAGAATTAATCAGCATCTGACGGCATCCGACAGTTGATATTTATCATATTTTTCATAGTCATGAAAATAATACAGATCATTTTTTGGTACTATTGTAGATTCTGAACAAATAGATTTGATCGTGATTTCAATCAAAAACTGTAACTGTTTGTTGTCAAGTTCCGGAGAGATCAAAATTAAAAAAACTAAAGAATTTCGTACGAACTACAATTATAACTTAGAAAGCATTTTCCATATAATACAATCTTTACAGAAGTGGTAATTTTTTTTCGGAACTGCTCTGATTTGTTCTTGTTTAGCCAAATAAAGTCGACTTCCTGGGTTTATGATGCTCTTTCAAAAAAAAGTGTCGAAAATAAAAAATATCGAATTATTCATCAATATTAAAATAACTCAGAATGATTACAAAAATATCAGGAAGCACTGCAATATATATATTTAGAATGGCATTTGTATGCTATAGATAATATGTCTCAATCCTACAAGACAGCACTGAACAAGTACGGGTTGTCTCGAACATGAGTACCCATCATTTGCACCACGGAGTACACGTACTTGTTCAGCTCTGCTACGAGAGCCTGAATCGACAATCTCTCATGCTCTATGTTTCTATCCTATTAAAAGTGAAATCTAAGAGGCAGCAGATTTACCATCTGATTCGATGGTGTCCTTTGTATACAAAAACTTTAATTTTATTACAAGATCTATGTATGAGATACTTGGACGAAATCCTTTAAAAAATGTTTTGACAAAAAGAATCAAATGTTGTTGCATTTTATTTCATCGAGAATTTCGTGGCCACATAAATTTCGAAATTTTTTTCAGTTCTACATCAAACTATTTGATGAATCATTTGATCGTATTGAATGATCGATTCTATAAAACAAAATATCTCGATGATTCATACATACTTGATCACTGGGCATGTATTTTGGCCTTTTGATTTCATTAACACGATCAAGAAAACTATAATATTTAGAAAGAAAAAAAAAACGGCAAAATAAAATTTATTTCAAAACCATAAACTACGGACTATTTAGCGGAGTCGATCAGTTGATACTCATTTGATCTTTGAAAACATTCTTGTACACCACCATCACGCCATAGTGTTTCCACATCATCAAAAAACTCTGGTGGATAATCGAAATCTAATTGATGTGCTGTTGTTAATATATATGTAGCACGCTCTCGATTTTCTGAATGTTCTAAACTCACAGGTGGACTAATCGTATCAAGGGCACGTAAAATACTCTGATATTATTTTTAAAGGACATCTAAGTGGAAATCACATTTGTTGAACTTTCTTCTGTTTGGACATCCAGTTTTGAAAGATCTTTTTTCAAAAGAGGCGATTTGCTCCGATAGAATGTTTTATGAAATACGGTCTAAAATGAGTGTTGAAGTAACAGGATAGAGCTTAGCAACACTTTCCCCATCGTGTGATAGACTGTAACAGATATTGTTGATATACGGTCAGAAACTCTAAAACAATAAAGTCTCGTTATAATGTATGAACTTATTTATTTCATTTAAGCGTTCAGAATTTTGCACCTGGCCCGAATTCTTCTCATTAATCCTCGTAAAACGCCTTATTTCTATGAATATTTGGCACATCCCATAGTGATTAGCAGTATGTATTTTCATTAAAACGTAGTATTAAACAGTATAAATTTAGATTTCTTTAAAGCTGTAGCATTTTACTCAGCAAATTACATTTCGATAGATGGAATTGCGTGTAAGTAGACGAAATGTACTACATGGATTTTTTAGTTTAAATGCTTCGGTTAGAGCCAAGGGTGAACAAACTGATTTCATGATTTATTGATTTCGGATGATTTCAGGTGATTTCAGATGATTTCATGAGATTCCAGATGATTTCGAGCAGCAAGAGCGTTTATATATCTTTGTATTATTCAAAGTTGCTTTGTTTATATATTGGTGTTAGTATAGTTAGGCAAGTAGCATAGGAAAACATAAACTTTGCTGAGGAAAGTAATGATATAGTAAAGTGAAAGTACAATGTCAGCTACATTTGTTCTTTATTATTTTAAAGAAAGCAGTTCGAAATACAAACTTTCATCGACCTTGAACTCGTGATAATCAATCTACAGATAATGAGGATTTGTCTTTTTCCAAAACCCAACACGCAGCTTGTTTGTGAAGAAACTTATTTTCATGGTTAATACTAACTTTCAAAAAAAGTATGGGCGAGTCCTCTTTTTACATTGTCAAATAATCGCAGTCCACGATTCGTCGAAATATTCGCATTATTTAACACGTCGAAATTATCATTTAATTCGAACTCTTCATCAGTATCATAATTATTTGTAAAATTTTCATGTTCATCAAAATTTGTTCCATCGTCTGATTCAAAATTTAAACTTGCACTCTGGCTGTTTATGATAATATTTTCTGTCGACCAAAATTCTTCTAATTTTCGTGAAATAACGCCACTCATTTCTTCGATCGATATTACGTGTCCATTTTTTAAGATTTCTTTCATTTTCAATTGGTTAAAAAGTTTAGTTACATGATTGTATGATGTTCGTACACTATTTTCAATAGCTATTTTAGAAAGACTAATTGTACTTGTTGGATTTGAAGTGTTCGGTAATTTTCTAGATAACTTATGATGCTGAGGAAAAGGAAGATTATTTTGGTTTGCATTACTTTTGATGTTTAGGAGTGCTGATAATTTATTTATTCGATTAAGAAATTGTGAAACTGTGAAATTCACTCCACCTGAAGAATTACTTGATATTGCTCTTGCTGATCTGAATGCATCTTCGCATGTTTGCGAATTTTCTAACCAAATATTAAGAGCGTCAACTGGAAGTTGTCCCTCCGAAACCAGCATAGCAAGATAAACAAGAGAGTGTGCATTGATTTCGACACAAAAATATGATTGATATGTAATAAAATATTGACTTTTTTCCTTGAGATTGATCTTTTATAGATTTCACATCATAACAAGATACTTGTGAAAAAAATTAAATCGAGATCATTCTTATTCATTGCATTAATCCAAAACAGCCAGAAACGAAAAATAAATACTGACGTCCATGCGTGATATATACGGTCCAAAATATTGGTATCTTTTTCTATATAAGCAAATCGAACACTTCTTATTGCCTTCAAAAAGAAACTATGATTATTAATTATTCTCAGGAATGCAACAGTGCAAATGTGCTGGGTATCCAGCTATCTGAGTATTCATTGTTATGAAATTTTGAATAAATTAGTCTAGAGTTGATTCGATAATTAGTATTGTTGACTTTTGCCAGAGATTCAGGATCGAAAAATTCGAATGTGCAAGTAGTTTCTTAAAATTTTGATTTTGACTTTATTGCTCATAACAATTATTTTAGCAAAAAAAATTGTTTTCTTTAAAGCTTTTTCATTCGAACATGTTTTTACAAAGAAAGTAATTTTTTTGACGATAAAGATTCTTTCGCTAAAAAATAATTTCTAAGTAAACAGTTCAAATTCAAAGCTCTGAGAAACTGATCACAGATTCCGATTCCTTGATCCTGAAAACCTATTGTACAACTTTATAAGAAATTATTATTTTTAAAAAACCTTTCTTTGATGGAAAAGATCGAATATGCCGTTCCGAGATTTTGCTTCAAGATTCAGACTTATTGACTCCAAGAGCTTTAGTTAAAAGCGAAAATACCTTTTATTGAATCAACTCCAGGTCAGTTTACCAAATATCCAGTCAAGTCGGATACTCAGACTGACTGGCACCCATTCGATCAGTTGGGACTGGAACTGGTGTCCATATAGTTACTTTTTCACAAAGCTTTAATGTAATAGTCGATGACTTTAAATTTATCCTTCTTTTCAATAATTAATCATCAAGTTTTTGAGATAGAATAAATACATTTTAACAAATACGCAAAAATACTCAGAGTGTTTTAGCATGTGATAAAGCGTAAAATCTTTCTTTACGACTTACGAAAATCGAGTCAATTTTTTCCATCATTTCTCAAGAATTTTTTTCCAATTCAATTTCAAATATTATTAATCTTACAAAATACTAGAAAATGGTTTCATCCTCTTTATAGTTACTTTGTCACATACCTGCAAATAACTATTTAAACCTAATGAGTTTGGAATTTGTTCAAGAAAAATTAATACATTATCATTAGAAATTTTTTCTGCTGAACTATAATTTTGACAATCTTTTGGATTTACATTGGAAAGTACTAATGAATGATTGAGTTTCGAATAATTGTTAATCATATATATAAGTGGTCCAATGGTAATTAATTGGTCTCCTAAAAGTAGATGTGTTGTTTCAGAAAGTAATGGATTGCGCAGTTTAGTACAGATGTGAACTGCATCCTAGAAACAAATATATAGCTGTTTATGCTGCATGAAAAACCACGACCAACTATTTGGAAGATCAATAGAAAATAAATCTGGATGATCATCATAAACAAATTCAGCAAAAAAGCCAAGAGATACTCGCATAGCATGTAAATAACGACTATCACAATCAGTTGAAAAACCAACAATGTGAATTCCTTTAGCTTTACATTGTTGATAAATATGATGCCAACGAGGAATAACATCTGATGATATGAATTTATTATCTGTGCCATAAGCTACTAGAACATACGGCGACTTGTTACTAGATGAGACAGAAAGAGATTGAATGAGAAAGGCATTAAGTGATTTTGCTGTCGGTATATTATAATACCATTCTTCAAGGTAAGTAAACGAGTCTGTTTTATAAGAGTTAATGATTAGCAGTTCATTATTATCTAGTGGAAGACTAAAACAGATAAACGTGTTTGATGTCGCATCATAGGTAACTTTAGGAACGACTGCTGTAGTATCTTCTGCAATAAAACCTAATGTTGGTTGAATAGAATTGAAATAATTACACGCGCCTTCAAAATTAAATAGTCCTTCAGTTAGGTGATTATCTGAAGCAGCGATAAATGATTGAATAATTTGAACACTTGGAAGAAATGCTGGAATATTTAAACGAATAAATTCATATGAAGTACGACCTCCAAGTATGTATAAACTAGTTGCAAATTGTCGTACAATAGCTTCATAACGAAAACCTTTTTCTTCGGTTATGCAATTTCTAAACATATTATTTAATATAATATTTAAGAGTGTAAAATCATATTTGCTCTTGATAATAAGGTTTGAATAGATGATGAGTGTTTTAATAAATGGAAATTTTTGCAGAAGACATTCAGGTACAATTAAATCAGAAGAGTTATTTGAATTTTTTGGAGCAGCAGATTTCAAGTGTTGTTGGTTAAGAATATTAAGAGTGTTAAAGAAAGTTTCAACTTTGTACACCAATCCTTTTTTCAAAACAAAACCACCATCATTGAGAAAAATGCCTGCTTTCATTTTGATTGGAATAAGTTCGTCTGAATCAAGTTGTAGGACAGCAAAAATATCCCCAGTTTCAAGAAGACGATCGACGGATGATATGTCCTGTACTTGCATAATTTCAAGAGCAACACTACCACATTGTTGTTCGACTAAATTATAAAATGTTTCGTTGCGAAACGACAAGACTTCTTGCGTTAAATTAACATTAGATAAATTATTTGACATTTTCGAAAAATATCTAAAATATTTAATCATAATCATAACCACATTGTTCGAATGAAGAAGTTATATCAAATAAAACACTTATTCAGAAATTAAATATTTTTAAGCCTGTTCCCTGTGAAAGTTAAGAATCTAAAAGATTGTTTCAAATCATTGTCAACCACTATTTTAACCTCTTGCCTATTTCTCATAATCGTTTTACGACTTGTTTTATGCGGCAGCATAAGACCTTTCAATTTAAACAAGCAAAGAGAGTGATCTACTTCACTTTAATAAAAGTCCATGTACATCAATTTTGTTGCTCTAAAACAGCATTAAAAAAAAGAGTTGGGATACAGAAATAAATAAAGAAACATTAAAGAAAAAGTAAAACAGTATCTATAAAATAAACATTCAAATATTTTTCTTCTTTTTAGCTGATGATGCATTGAGTTCGTGATTTCTTTTCCGCTTTTCAAGTGACGTAGGATGAGTTTTCAGATCGACGTCAGAAGCATCTCTGTTAAAAAATGTAGAGGCTACATTGTCAGTCGTATTATCATTAATATTCTTCAGTTTTTGTTGAACTATAAAACAAGGTTTCCGATTTGTTAAATGACGAATATAATTAGATAGCTAAAATGAAAAAGTAATTGTTTACAAATCATTATACATATTAGTCATTGGAATGAGAAAGATGTTCAGATCAATTGTGGATATCATTTTAATTTTTTGTTTAGAAAAAAATAGATAATTTTAATCTTAAAATGAATTGCTATAAGTGGATCTCTTTCCTCTTTTGAATCTCACAAAATTTCATTATTTTCTACTAAATGCGTGATGGATAAAAAAGATTTAATATTTTTTCATGCAAATGTGGCTCTAAATTTAATTTTTACATGTTAAATAACATGCTACAGATTTTTGATTAATATTCATCAATAATTATCATGTTAAATGTCTAAACTGAATGGTAAAACTATAATATTCAATTTCATTATTCATAAGATTGGCTTCATCTTTATCAACTGTGATATCAACAGGAGTTCTATCTATTCTCTTCACAACTTATTTCGTAGACTAGCAACTATTAGTTAACGATACTGTCATCGATTGTTTGAAAAATTCTATAAGAAAATATTTTTTTAACTATACAGCTCATGGAATAATCTATGCTTTTGATAATACATCTCATGTCGACTAAAAGTTCTTCATGTAACTAAAAAGGAAGTCGAGTAAAGCAGACTTGTTGGAAAGGGTATCTTTTAGAGTGTTGATATTAATAGTTTTGATTACTGATTCTATTTATTATTTTTACTAATTGAACTCATCCCAGGATACAAGATGTCGAAAACAATATTGTCTTGATCTGAGACTGTTCACTAGATTATTACATGTATTACTTAATTCTGTCCTTCGAAAGAGCATTCCAGTTGTTCAAAAAAGTTCTAGTGTATAAAATCATTCTCAAATATTAGTGCAAAATGTTCTGTATAGATTTCATTTAGGAATGAACAACCTAAACACTTTATTAACATATTTGGCAAAATTCAATATACAAACACTAGTAAACTTGTGTTTTCCTATCTTTTCTGTAAAAATATCCACAATCTGTGAAGGCACGTGACTTATAATATAGTTATTATTTTTTTGACCTAATGTTGCAGTTGCACCACATTGACATCTAATCAATACCTTGTTTGCATTAATATCAATAACAATTTCATAAGCAACATTTTCTTCGAGGTGAAATATTTTTTTGATTTTGATTTTTACTTTCTTTCATCTTTTCGCACCACTTGTTTAGAGACTTGATCAGATATTGTTTTATTTTTTCTTCAGTGTTTCAATTAATATTTAATGATGAAGAAATATTCGTTGATGTATCCAAAAATCCATTTTCAGAATTAGTAGAATTGTTACTTATCAAACTATTTGTAGATAGATTGTTTGTTACAAGAATATTTGAAGGTGTTTTTGATGCTTCTTTCTTTAGTTGATAATATTTCTGCATTGTTGCATTTTTTAAAAGATTCATTTTGCTCTTTATTCCGGGTAAAACAACAAACGAATTATTATTTAACTTAATGCATATTTTCTTTTTTAAATCTAATAAATCGTTTGAATCCAATGATAAAATTTCTAAGGGGTCATCGCAAGCAAGCAAACAATGTACATTACTAATATCTTGAAATTCGAGAAGGATAGCCATCTTCGCACCTGAATATTGTTTAACGAATTCGAAAAATGAATTTAATCGTAATAAAAAGGTCGAAAAATTGACAACATTCATGAAAAAGAATTGATTAGTTAAAAATTGATTAGAGGAGCATCACTTCGTAGTAAATTACGAATGCAGCTGAAAATTTCTTGGATCGCAATTTCTGTAACTCGATGCTTCGAACTTTTCTTCCTTGTAGAGTCATGCAATGACCTTGAGCAAATCACTAACCGCTGTTTGTCTCGAATCACCGGTCCGATAGCATTCTGACTAAGTTTTTTCATACACTTTTCCTCGTGAGTAGTATGTGATTTGTTAGTGTATATGGCAAGCTCAAGCAATGGAGTATAAGAACTCTTCTTGAGGCTGGCCTTCTGCCCAGAACTGCAACTAGTATTCGTTATAGGAAAGATATCTGGCTATTGATGGACATTCTTGATGAATGTCATCTCTATACAATATAAAAGTTATATTAGAAAACAACTCATATAAAATAAAACATACGGTTAATGAATCACGTATGTTACGTTTAATATCAGGAATTTTATCGACTCTTTCTCTACAAATAAAATTAAATAAAATTAAAAATAAATAAAATTAAAATTTTACTGTTGAGTGAATGGATTATGTAAAATTTTCATTTGTTTAACAACTGTTGATTTTCCTGATTCACCTGCGCCTATTGAAAAAGAAACCAAAAAAAGTTAAATGAGAAAAAAACAATCCAGAAACCAAAACAAACCCAAGAGAAGTAATCGATGAGTAGCTTTATCAACTTTTTCATCTTGTTTTAATTTTGCATTAATTTGCTTACGTTTTTTTTCTTCATCACTTTTCGGAGAAATACAACTCCAAAAATTAGGCATTTTTTTCTTTTTAACTATACCGTTGGTTGTTCTATTATCGTTTTCGGATGAATAATTCGCCATTAAACCCACACATATACGGACAAAAAGAAGTGCGTGGATTTTTTTTTTGAAATAAATTTATAAAATATGATATTTATATGATCTACAATAAATAACATACGAAGTACAGGGTGACCCGAAATGTATTCAACAATTGTTTTTGATTATAACTTTTTATTATGATATGTTTTATTTTTCAATCTTATATCACTTTTGTTGACAAGACACTCACATTTAAAAATAAATATGTTCGAAATGGCTACCGTCATTTTCTTGGCAAAGTTCAAGTCTTTTACAAAAGTTTTGAATTACGCATTGCAAGACCTGAACTTCAATATTGTTTATCTCAACAATTATTGCATTTTTTAACTCAGAAAAAGTTTTAGGATTATTTTTTATAAACTTTATCCTTCAAATGACCTCAAAAAAAGAAATCAAGGTGGGTTGAGATCAGGACTGTGTGGTGGCCACTCTAATCCACGTTTTGAAAATTTAGGATAATTGAGCCCAATTACTCGTGTATTGAAACAGTTAAAAAGTATTTCAAACACATCTTTAGAGCGATGAGGAGTGGCTCCGTCTTGCATGAACCAATATTCCTCAATAGCAGTTTGTTTTTTAATTGCAGGAACAAACTGGTTTTCAAGTAAATTTTTGTATGACAAACCAATCAAATTTTCTTCAATAAAAAATAATGAATATCACGATTTGACATTACTGCCCACATTGTGAGACGTTGAGGATGAAGCGGCTTTGATTGCGTGATAAACGATTGTTCCGTTCCCCAAAAACGATAATTTTGTTTGTTCACGTAGCCGTTTAACCAAAATGAGTCTCATCACTAAACCAAATTTTTCCACATTTAAACTTTTTGCTTCAATAGCAGATGACAAAATTTGTGAAAACAATTTCCTTTTTTTCCATTGTTTCAGGATTTCAAGCTTGATTGATTTGAATTTTATACAGGAACAATTTAGCAAAATAACGTGCAATCATCCGCAAACTTTCACGTTTTATATTTAAAATTTGAGCTGCCCGACGAATTGATGTCGTTGAATTTTGTTGAAAAAACTGTTCAACTTTTAAAATGTTTTCATCAACAATCACAACTCGTGGTCGGCCAGTTGATTGAGACCGCGCATCATCAGTGTTTGCTGTTGTCTCAATTTTTTCAATTAAACTATTGTTAAAAAAAATTTGTAATTTAAAAAAAACAATTTAAACGCTTTACGAGCATATTCAACACTTTCGCCTCGTTGATAGTAATTTTTAATCAAAAACCCGTTTTGCAGGCTCTAATCCTGCCATGATTACAATTAACACAATTACGTAAGTTTAATTTAGACAAAAACAATGGCGATTATTCATGTTTACAACAGTGCATAATAGAGGGCGCTGCTTATCGTACGTAGTTGCTGTGATACGTAAAACTTTATCTGAGTTAAAAAATGCAATAATTGTTGAGATAAACAATATTGAAGTTCAGGTCTTGCAATGCATAATTCAAAAGTTTTGTAAAAGACTTGAACTTTGCCAAGAAAGTGACGGTAGCCATTTCGAACATATTTATTTTTATATGTGAGTGTCTTGTCAACAAAAGTGATATAAGATTGAAAAATAAAACATATCATAATAAAAAGTTATAATCAAAAACAATTGTTGAATACCTTTCTGGTCACCTTGTATATGATTAGAGAAAAGAAAAAGACAGATTAGCCGATACTAAAATTGACCAAAAGAGGCCGTGTTGTACATTATAATCTTCACTGATATTAATATTGATTTATATAGAAACAGATTTTTCGATCAAAAACAAAGTGTGAATTGCGTATACACCGTGTATTTCGTACACGCTGCTTTTTTACCAGGGTGTAAAATAGCGTGTAAATTGTCTTTAGCAGGTGTTTTGTACATTTTGATTCTGCTTGGTACACCTGCTGTTTGAAACGCTGATTGGGTAGACATGTATCGAGACGTGCTGCTATGCGTTTGATGCGTCTTAAACGATACAGTATGCGCACGGCAGATGTCGTGCATCTTCGAGGAGGAGAAAGATAAAGAGAGTGAGTAAATGTCTATTATTTTCTCAGACTAAATGGTCGACGACTTTTGTGTGTTCACTTTCATCTTTTATAAGATGCGAGCAGTGACAAGAATTGATCTTTACAACTTTGTTCATTTGTTGAAATTGTAATATTATGATGAGAACAAAATGCAATAATGAAAGTTTTAGACAAAATTTATTAAGCTCAATTAAAAACGCTAACTTATCAAAAGTTTTCCAGCTTTCTCATTCTTGATCATATAAAATACTCTTCTTCAATAACTAATTCGTTCTCTAAAATTGAGTTTTGTCTTTTAGAAATCAAAATCTTTTATCTTCAGTTTCTACTTGGAATTTATCTTTATTCTCTTCTTGTAGACTGTAACAAAGACTTATGCCACCGATCTTAAGGGCCCCCCTCAGAAACCAACATTGTTATTTTTCATCCGATTTCAACCAAAATTTCAGAGAATGTTAGTCTTAGTTAGAATAGATTGTGGTTAAAATATCTCGCAAAATCTGCAAGCCATTCACGAGTTATAGTCAATTCATTGGTCAAAAATACCCTTTACGCGGGCAAGGCTTTCAATATGAGGATTCGAGCTAAGCATGTCGGGATGGCTTTTAGATTGTAGAGTACACTTAGGGCTAAATCCTAATAGAGCCCGATTTTCTAATTTTCCTATGTTTGCTTTTTAAAAAAACTTTTTCCAAAAATTCTCAAATTCGTGACCAAAAAATCGCTAATTAAAATCAAAGATCTAAGTTTTTTATTTAAACAAAGGAGAAATTCAAAAATCGGGCTCTATTAGGATCTGACCCCAGGTGTCTACTCTATAACAAAAAAAAACATTATCACTTTTATATTGAGTCGTTGTTGAGTAACGTTTGTCCGTGTAAACAGTATACTCGAAAAAATGGATTTTGAGAAAAACGGAAAATAAGTTTTTAAAAACTTTATTTTTTTTCAATATGGAGGTTCAAAAAAATGTAATGTAATATCCTAAATCTCATCATAAAATCAATCAACTATAGTGCATGCGAGAGTAGACACTTTGCTCTATCTAACGACTTATAAATCACAAAATCGATAAATTTGACCAAAATTGACTTTTTTGAGGGGAGCTTAATAAGACGTAAAATAATAAAACAAAAAGAATTATTAAAACAGCAAGATTCGATATCATCGAATTGTCAGCAACAATCAAATAATTCAACAAATAATTCGTTAAAATCACCAAATAATAATAAAAAAGGAAATCTACAAGTTACAAATTGTTTCGATTATAATGATTCATCATTACTTATGTTGAATAAAGATTTAATAACGCCAGCATCAGTTAATAATGATAAGTGTTGTTTATTAGGAACAATAAATTGAAAAGAGATTTATGATCAACAAAAAACTAAGGTACTAACTTGCATGTAGACAAGATTGATCTGAAATCCAACAACATTGAGATTGACAAGGGGACCATTTGAAGTGAAGCACTAATTTTCTGTTTATGGATTAGACATATCGAGAGAAACTTTACATTAGAATAACCTTGAAAGCATTAGGATTCACAGACGTTCTCTACAGAATTACGAAAGTTCTGTTAGATTTTATCAGACCAAGGAGAATGATTCCAGCGTCTGGTTTCATGGGTTTACGGTGTGTTGTCCTCAGAACGGTACCGTTTCCTGCTAAAAAACTCGGAAAATAGTAGCAATTTGGAATTAGGAGTCCGATGATCAAATTTTTCTAGTTCCAATGTGTATTCGGCTTCCTCTACTATAGAATTTCTATTTCCAAGTTCGTGCCATTTTCTACATTTTTCCGACTAGAACACGTCTGTATTTCTTGACCTGGGTAGGATTGAGTATTTGCAGGAAAATTCAGTCAAGAAGTTTTTATTTTAGATACTGTCTATGAGTAGATATCATGACTTTTGGAATATGCTACAATTTCCATAAAAATGATTAATTCCTTCTTCAGATATTCGGTGTTCGAAAATTCTCGAGTTTTTGTAATCTTCTTTGTGAAATCTAATCATTTTTTTCGATTTATGAACTGGATTTCAAGCCACAAATTCTGTGTCAATCTTCTCATCAATATATCGTGCTATAACAAAAAACCAGTAGAACTACCATAACTCATAAGAGAGAAGGTCTATGGGTTCAAGCCTTTTTGATACCACTACTAATCATGAAGTCCTCTCTATATACCAAAAATATGCTCTGAAAAGTTGAAAATTATTTCGGGCAGCTTCCACTCACGTGAAGGATCGAAATGAAAAGAACTGATTTTATTCATACCGAATTGAACAAGTAACGAAGCAAATAACAGCAACTAAGTGGGTTTCAGTCTAACAGAGAGATATTTCAAGTATATAGGAAATGATAGAGATTAATTATTTTTTAAGAGTGGGGTGTGGTAGTGCTGCCGTTCGTCCTCTCGTCGCAAACATCCACATTCAACCATAAAAAGTATCGTTCCCAATGGAAAAGTGTTGATCCTGATCTTGGTCCTGGTCTCGACGAAACCATGACCATCTTTCCCATATTCAGACATGACATATCCTCATTTACCTAGTGCACAGCAGCACACATTTCGAGAAAGAGAAGAAAACAAACAACAGAAAGATAAACGCTTTGTTCGATTATGTGTGTGTAACGAATGCAGCACGTATCTGGCAGCCTAGAAAAATCAATGTTTTCTCCCTACTTATCTTTTATAGACCACAAATCGCTTTACCAGCATATAAGTTTAGTGGGTGTGAGTGTAGGCGCGGGTGTGGGTGTGGGTGTGGGTGGATGTGGGTGGGGTGGGGGTGAGAGTCGGTGTGACGGTGAGCAAAATCAACAGATACTTACACCCACCACCCACACGCCTACCCACACCCCGAGTATGTCAATGCATTTCTCATATTTT